CTGGCACAGTGCCTGGCACGTAGCAAGTGCCAGTTGGGATTTACTGAATCGCCACGTGAACGGATGGGTGAATGAATGAATGAGTGAGTGAGTGAATGATGACACAATCTCCAAGGAAGAGGATGACAGTTCTAGGAGGCTGACTGCAGTTCAGCATAGGGAAGAACATTCTAATATGAGCCCCAGCTGGTGATGGAAGGGTGTACGTTGAGAGACGGTGAGCCCCCCAGCCCTGGGCATGTCCCGATGGGAGACCAGTTGGCCGCTAGTCATAATGCACTGGAAGCATTCTTGCATGAGACGGGGATATAGACTGACTTTGTGGGACCTTCTACCTCTGACGGTCTACAGTTCAAGGTTCCAGACTCCTAGGGAGTATTTGGGTGCCTACCACAGAGGAGGGTTCTCCCCTCTGCCAACACAAGACCTTTTAGGGTTATTCTCAAGTGACGTGGCTGGGAAACTTCGAATTGGTTCGAATTCATTGTTTTTCTTTGTGATTGATGATAAGAATGATGATAGCATCCATTTGTAGAATTTCCTACGTGTGGGGCACTGTGCTAGGTACTTTTAATGTAATGACTTGTTTAATCTCCTCTACATCCCTAAGAGAAAGCCAATCGTATTATTATCACATTTTACAGATGAGGAAACTGAGGCATAGAGAAGTTAAGTAATTACTGAAAGTCATCAACTAATAACTGATGGGGAACAGGATTTGAGGCCAGGCTCTGACCACTACAGCCTACTGTCTTCTCGCAGGCGAGTCGATTTTTGCTGATGATATTCTAGCGGCATCCAAAATAATATATTCTCTTCTTGAGGTGTGCAAAGGGACGCTGTAAAACCAAGTTCACTGATTGTGTGCCTTAATTCTTCTGTGTCCTTCCTTACGTTTCCTCCTACCAGATCAGTCTAGTTCTGGAATCTTCCATTGGATCTCTTTAAAGTAGCAGTTACATATACTATAAATAGGGAACTCTATTTTATTTGGCACACAAGGGACTATTATATCTTTCTCATACATCATGCCTTTTTTTCATGCGTGATGACAAAGATGAAGGGATTCTTCATCCTGTTTACTACATTTAACTTCAATTCCATGTGGTCGGGTATCGATATGGCTCTTCCTGCTTTCTCTTCATTTGCATGGTCTCTTTGTCCACACCTTGATTTTCTGCCCTTGCTACTCAGTGAATAGTGTGATTCATAAAACAGTTAGGTTTTGCTTTTAATCCAATATTCCCATCCTTGCTGACTAAACTAATGGGAGATTCAGATCATTCCCTGTACCCCTTTACTGTAAGGATTTATATGCTTGACTTCATTGTTCCCAGTTTCTTTGCGACCATTATGGTTTCTTTTACATGTTGTTTCATTTTCCTTTTGCATACGTTTGCTTTTTGGAGCACTTGAACATTTTTTTCTAAAGATTTTATTTTATTATTTAAAAAAATCTTTATTTTTGAGAGAGAGAGAGAGACAGTGTGAGCAGGGGAAGGGCAGAGAGAGAGGAAGACACAGAATCTGAAGCAGGCTCCATCTGGGCTCTGAGCTGTCAGCACAGAGCCTGATGCAGGGCTCGAACTCATGAACTGTGAGATCATGACCTGAGCTGAAGTCGGACGCTCAACTGACTGAGCCACCCAGGCGCCCCTAAAGATCTTATTTTAAAGTAATGTCTGCACCCAATGCGGGGCTCGAACCCACAACCCCGAGATCAAGAGTCCCACGTTCCTCGGACGGAGCCAGCCAGGAACCCTGGAGCACCTGAACATTTTATTGTGTCTTTCTATTCAATGAATGGCTATCTTTCCTTTCCTGTTCTCACAACCAGATGCATTTTGCTCCATTCTTATCCAGAAAACCCCTTAACATTTCCCCCAGGAAGGCACATTGCTGCCTCTGCTCCAATGAGAGGAGATCTGTGGAATCCATTTGTTTCTTTCTTTGCCCCTCTTTTCACCTGGTCTCTATCTCTTTTCCATGAGATCTTTGAAAGGTTTTCTGTGTCTGTTCCCCACCCAGTCTGTCCCAACCTTACTCTGCATCACAAAGCTTTCATAGACCATGTAAATCACACATTTCCAGTTGGTGTATCTTCATCCATTTGGGTTTAACTTCTACTATCCTGTTTTTCTTTCCTATTAATTTATTTATCTATCTACTAGACTATTCATCCTCCATCCATCCTCCATCCATCCATCCATCCATCCATCCATCCATCCATCTATCCATCCATTTTCACCCTCCCCCTCTTCCTTTCATTATACATCCATCATCCTCTCCAATCTGTTGCTACATTTATTGCTTGCCATTGTTCCCTCTCCTCTTCGTCTCCCCCAATTATGAGGACTCTCCCCCGGTTCACAGGCTGTTTGGCTAAACAGCGAGTTATGTGGATGACTCCCCCCCGCCCCACCTCTGTTCTCTGTTCAGCCGGCACCTTCTGAGAGAGTTCTTTCTGACCTTCGTCAACTTTAATCGTCTTCCCGCTTTACTTTTCCTCACACACTTTGCACTTCCTGACACTTCTTCTATGTTTATTACTTATTTGCTCATTCTCTGTCTCCCCCACTAGAATGTTAAACTCACTGAGGGCAGGCACTTTATTTTATCTCCCTTTTTATGTCTCCAGGGCTTGGGACAGTGGCTGGACCATCCCTGGAACAAAGAGTTGTTGAATGAATTGCATTTTGCATACCCTCAAATCTCTTTCTGTCTTGTGCCCTGAGAAGCAGGTGACATGCTGGCTGGAGGTAGGGTTCTTACACTGAAGTCCTTTCCCTAAAGTTGACTCTAGCTACTCTCCCACTGATTTCTGCAGATGAGAAGTCTGGTGCCAGCGTGCACCTCTACATTTTGTGCACACCCCAATTTATCCAATATTACACATGTGTATTTGTTGATTCCCCAGCAATCTTGTTTGTTTGCCTTTGAGCCCCTGGCAAAATGCCTGATGCATAGTAGGCGTCCCCCAAATATTTGTTGTATAAATAAATGGATAAAGGAAGGATTTTTAACACTATAAGAAGGCAGATGATGTATTTATTGGAACTCTTGAAATATCAGTGACAGGGGTGTTCTAGACCAGTGGTTCTCAAGGTGGGGTCCCAGATCAACAGTGTCAGCCCCACCGGGGAGCTTGTTAGAGATGCAAATTTGGACACCCCCCCTCCCCAAACCTACTGAAGCAGAAACTCTGGGGGTGGAGCCCCGCAATCTGCGGTTTAACAAGCCTTCCAGGTGATCCTGATGCATGTTCAAGTTGGAGAACCGGTGCTGGAGACTGGTCTCGTTTTCTAGATGGGAAAACCAAGGCTAGGAGCAGGGAAGTGACTCATCTGAATTCACGCATGCCACCGGGGGCACAGCCGGAGCCAATGCCCAGGTCCCCAGGGCTGCAGCCTGTGTCCTCGCCACACCAGCCAGGCTGCCTCACCTCCTCTCGCTATTTCCCCTGTAATCAAAACGAGCCATGCATTTGTCAAACCTTTTGAAAGCACCGGGATTGAGTCTCCACCCTTACTGAGCTTTTGATTTCACTGGGAGCTTGCCAGGATTAAAAACAAACAAAAAATGTGACTTAGAGTTGTTTCTATAAGGCTTTGAGCAATGGAAAGGAGCTGGGCGATTGCGTTACTTTTCACTGGAGGCTTCTTGGGTTGGAGCTGTAATGTTATAGCTCAGTGTGAGGACCCGTCCTCTCTCTCGACCTCGCCACAATGCTTGTCACACACGATCCAGTTTCCTCCCGCTTGTGGGAGAGGAGGCGTGAATGGCGGCCAACGTTGGCCCAGAAGAAGGATTAGGACCTTTGACGTTGATCAAGTCTCCATGACCACTCTGTTTTTCTTGCTAATATTTTCATTTGTTACAAGTTTCTTTTTAACGTGTTTTGTATATTCCTTTCCATCTTTTTTTTTTCCTATGCATATTTTTTGTTTGTGTTTATTGTTTGGTCCAAACCATGCCAGATACACCATCAAAGAATACTTCCTTTCTTCACTTTCCCTAAGTTCAGGCCCTTTCCGTGACACCGTTATGGATGCCCCTTCCTATCAGTTTTAAAAATATGCTTTCTATTTTGGAAAAGTTTCAGGTTTACCGAAGAGTTGCACAGAGAGTGCAAGGGTTCCCGAATGCCTGTGTGCCCCTCATCTTTTTCTCTAGAGAGCAGGGTTTTAAGATCAGAGAACAGATTTTTTGAGAACAGTGACACTCTTAGACTGATCTTTTTTGGGGAAAAGCTCTTAGAGGCCTTCTGTTTATTGGGCTAATCTTTGTTGAATGTATATCATTTATCAGACCCCAGGATATGCATCAGGTGGGAACAATGATAAACAGGACACAATACTGTCTTGCTGTGTATATATGTAATTAATTCTAATATGTATGACACAACATAAAATTTATCAACTTAGTTGTTAAAATTTTTTTAATGTTTCTTTATGTTTGAGAGAGAGAGACAGAGCATGAATGGGGGAAGGGGAGAGAGAGAGAGAGGGAGACACAGAATCCAAAGCGGGCTCTAGGCTCTGAGCTGTCAGCGCAGAGCCCAACATGGGGCTTGAACTCGCGAACCGTGAGATCATGACCTGAGCTGAAGTCTGGTGCTTCACCAACCGAGCCACCCAGGTGCCCCTCTTTCCTCCCACTCTTAATGGAGGTTAATAGTATCCTCTGAGGCCCGACAGTTTTTTCATTTTGATGTTTTAGGTTTTACGTTTGAGTCTTCGATTCATTTGGAGTTAATTTTTGTATATAGTGTAAGGCAGGGTAAAATTCATTCTTTCATGATTGGATTAGCCACTTTCCCAGCACCATCTGTAGAAACGACTGCCTTTTCCTCCCTGAATGGTCTTGGCACCCTTGCAAAAACCATTTGACCACGTAGGTGAGGGTTTTAGTGGCATTTACTCTGAAACGACATCCGTGCATGTCAACACTTACACATGTGTGTTTCTGTGCTCTCCCCGCCCCCCTCCCCCCCAATTTAGGTAGCATGACATTGTTCGCGGTCATCACCATCATCCTGGGATGCTTTAAAATTGGCTACTTCGTTGGATTCTCTGAATGTTTATCAGCCACTGAAGGCGTCTTCCCTGTCACACACGCAGCACATACTCTGGTCCAGGTAAACCCTAAGATGCTTCTGTAGGTCGCCTCGGCTCCTGCGGAATGTATCCCAGGGCACACGAAACGGGAGGTGTGGGAGACAGCAAGAGGAGGCGTAATCCTTCTCTGAGGCTCAGTCCGTCCGTTGCCTCCGCTCTCAAATGGGTCTCTGTGTCCCCTTGGCTGTCTTTGTGGGGATCCTACGAGGGGGCCCTTGTAATGGAGAGTCAGGACATTTTGCCAAGCTTGAGGCTACCAGAAGAGGCTCGGGAGTGGATTTTCATATATGTTCTTGGGTTTTATTGAGCTGTCATTCACACACCGTACAATTCACCCATTTTGGTGTACAAGCCAGTGGTTTGGTGTATTCTCAGAGCTAGGCGACCATCGCCATAATCAATCTTCGAACATTTTCATCCCCCGCAAAGGAAACCCTGGGCCACGACCGTCACTCCTCTGGGTCACTGAAACATTGTATTTTGGAGATTTGGTCTTTACGGAGCTCGTTAAGGCTAAATGAGGTCACATGGGGGGGTGTCCTAATCCAATAGAACTGGCGTCTTTATATGAAGAGAAGATTGGGACACAGATTCACAGAGAAGGAAGACGGTGTGAGGACAGTGGAGGAAGATGGCTGGCCGTCCACACGCCAGGGAGGGAGGCTCGGGACAACCCTGCCCACACCTTCATCTTGGACTTCCGGCCTCTCGGACCGTGGGAAATACATTTTTGTTGTTTTAAGGCACTCAATCTCTGCTGTTTTGTCATGGAAGCACTGACAATTTATTTATTGGCTACTTATTTCGGGGGAGTCAAATCTCATGATGACAGAGGCTTATGGTGATACCAGTGACAATCTGGAGAGTCTTAGTGAGACCAGAAAGAACTTCCTTCTTTACCTTCCTCCCTTCCTCCTTCCCCCTTCCTCCTTCCTTCCTTCCTTCCTTCCTTCCTTCCTTCCCTTCTCCTTCCTTCCTTCCTTCCTTCCTTCCTTCCTTCCTTCCTTCCTTCCCTCTGAACCCAACAAATAGTATTCCCAGTATTAGGAATGCATGGGCAAAGAGCCACGGTCTGAGCCCTGCCAAGGTGTCAGTCAGATGGGGACAAATTACAAATATAGATGACAACACAGGGCTCAATGCTTTGACCAAAGTCACCCAGTGATGAGGGCGCACCAGCTTTGGGGTGAGAGGTCGTTTCTGCCAGGAAGAGCTCCAGAGGTGTCAATGAAAGCAGGGTGTCAGAGATATTGGGGGATGTGTGGTCTTCCCACATGACGGGGAGAAGGTGTGTGGGGCCGTGGGGGGAGGCGGGCTGGGGCGACGGCACAGACGGAGCCATGGTTTAGCGGAGGGCTTAAGCGCATGGACTCTGGTCAGGTGATCTGACTCTGGCTCATACTCGCGATGGTGAGCTCTGGCAAATTACTTAACCTCTCTGGGTCTCAGGCCTCGCATCTGTCGAGCGCCTGCTTCCTGGGGTTTTGTGAAGATTGAAGGTGCTAATGTGTGTAAAGCACTTTGCAGTGAGCACTTGGCCAAGGCTGATGGCCACTTAGGAGCTTGAACTTTATATCTTGCGGGCAATGGGGAGCCATCGAAGACTTTAGGCAGAGGAATGACCTGGACAGATGTGAGTTTTCAAAATATCACTCTGTTACTTGGTGGGTTGCAGATCTCTATCTTCCTAATTTAGGGCATTTTATCAGTCAATTCATCAAGCATCCTATACCTAGCGGACATTTACTACTTGGCATTGCTACACTAGATGACTGGAGAATGAAAAACAGTATTTTAAAAAAATGGAATTTTTAAATTGTGCTAACCTACATACAGCATAACATTTGCTGTCTTAGCTACAGTTCAGTAGTGTTGAGTATCTTCACACTGTTGTGCAACCCATCTCCAGAACCCTTTCGTCTTGCAAAATTAAAACTCCGTCCCCATTAAACACTGACTACTGATTCCCTCCTCCCCCAGCCCCCGGTGCCCACTATTCGACTTTCTGTCCCTACGACTCTGGCTACTTCAGGGACCTCAGATGAGTAGGATCATACGGTGTTCGTCCTTTTGTGACAATTGGCTTTGTTTCACTGAGCTTAATGTCTTCAAGGCTCATCCGTGTTGTAGCAGGTGTCAGGATTTCCTTCCTTTTTCAGGCTGAGCAATATTCCATCGTATGGATGGGCCACGCTGTCTCCATCCATTGATGGACACTGGATTGCTCCTACTTTTGGCTGTTAGGAACAACGCTGCTGTAAACATGGGCGTACAAATATCTTTTTGAGACTCTGCTTTCAGTTCCTGTGGATATACACCCAGGAGTGGGATTGCTGGATTACGTGGTAATTAAAAAAAACCATTTATTTTGGGTTCAGTCGGTTGGGCATCTGACTTCGGCTCAGGTCATGATCTCGCGGTTCGTGAGTTCCAGCCCCGCGTCGGGCTCTGTGCTGACAGCTCGGAGCCTGGAGCCCACTTCGGATTCTGTGTCTCCCCCCCTCTCTCTGCCCACACCCCCCGCTCGTGCTCTGTCTCTCTCTATCTCTCAAAGCATAAACATTAAAAAAGTAAAATCAACAAATAAAATGTAATTTAACGTTACTGAAAAAACCGGGAAGGAAGATAACAATGTGTAGTTCCCTGCACATTCTTGTCAAAGTTTTACAGAGAACGTGCAGAATATCCCATTCCGAGGTTTCACTTTATTTTTTTTATTTTTTTATTTTTTTAATTTTTATTTTTTTAAAAATTTTTTTTTCAACGTTTTTATTTATTTTTGGGACAGAGAGAGACAGAGCATGAACGGGGGAGGGGCAGAGAGAGAGGGAGACACAGAATCGGAAACAGGCTCCAGGCTCCGAGCCATCAGCCCAGAGCCTGACGCGGGGCTCGAACTCACGGACCGCGAGATCGTGACCTGGCCGAAGTCGGACACTTAACCGACTGCGCCACCCAGGCGCCCCCCGAGGTTTCACTTTAAAACATCATAAACTTTTTTGGGGGTTGCCACGTGGTCTTTACGAAAGTATCCGTGAAGTAGCTGTGTAACTTGGAAGTCATTGATACATCCTTTTACCAAACGTTTTCCCTCTTGTTGAGCTGAATGGCACCTTACCAGGAGCCACTGCTCTCTGTCTTTTTAGGACGTCAGATGTTTTAAGGACCATCCCCTGAAAGTGTTTTCAGAGCAGCCCAGTCAGTCTTAGGTAAAACAATGTGGAAGAGGTAGGATGTGTAAGTGAATTTTCTTTGGTGCTATCCGATTTTCTTTTTTATAGCTCTTCCTTGCAAAATGAAGATTGAACAGGGCAAATTTGTTGTTTATTTATTATTTAAAAATGTTTTGTAAATTTATTTTTGAGACAGAGAGACAGAGCATGAGCGGGGGGGGGGGGGGAGAAAGAGGGAAAGAGAGAGAGAGAGAGAGAGAGAGAGAAAGTAAAACAGGCTCCAGGCTCTGAGCTGTCAGCACAGAGCCGGACGTGGGGCTCGAACTCCAGAACAATGAGATCATGACCTGAGCTGAAGTCGGACGCCCAACCGACTGAGCCACCCAGGCGCCCCGAAAGTATTTTTTTTTTTAAAAAGCCCTCAACATTTGGCTTCAGGCCACTGGTGTAGGAACTGTTTGTTGGGTGTTTCTCGGAGGAAGCCTAACACGGGTGATAGAATCGGGGTGACGGGGATCGTGACAGGCAGGCGGCCACTCCCCAAGCCCCATCCCTGCTGACAGCCTCAACCTGTCTTCGACACCTTTCTCGCACACCTGGAGTCTCGCTTCCGGAGCGCGGTCCCCACTGGGGGGGTGGCACTGCCGCCTGAGAGGGCCTTGGTGACTTTCCATCCTTGGGACCCTTGGGATGGGAGTTCACGGACATCCCAGCATCTCCCCGCTCCGCTTCTGTGCGTTTCAAAGCTTCTCAGTATGCGAACATGACGGTGGTTTTCACTGACACATCTTTGTTTTCTTCCTTTATTTCCTAGGTGTATTTTCTTTGGGGGCATGCCAAGGATATCATCCAGTCTTTCAAAACCCTGGAAAGGTAAAAAGCGTGGGAACTGCTAGTAAAGCAGTTGAACTTGGTGTTCGTTTGGAACGCACAGACTCATCACTGCCATTGCGCTTGGGTTTTATTTTCTTTTTTTTAATGTTTATTTACTTTTGAGACAGAGAGAGACAGAGCATGAATGGGGGGAGGGTCAGAGAGAGAGGGAGACACAGAATCGGAAGCAGGCTCCAGGCTCTGAGCTGTCAGCACAGAGCCCGACGTGGGGCTTGAACTGGTGAACCACGAGATCATGACCTGAGCCGAAGTCAGACGCTTAACTGAGTGAGCCACCCAGGCGCCCCTGCGCTTGGGTTTTAAATGGGAGACCGACTCTCCCTTCCATTCCGACAAGCAAAGCCCGCGCTCTTGGCCTGGGGAGGAGCCCCTCCGCCATCCGCCTCTTCCTGGGGACGGACGGCCCTGGGAGTAGGCCATGTGGGTTCGAATTCCGACTCTGCTGTCGGTGACATTTTCCTTTACGATCCTCGGTTTTCCTCATCTGTAAATGGGGTGAGAGGAGAGCCAGCCTCTGAGGACTGAATGAAGTGATTGACATAAAGCACGTGCCTGGTGCATAACAAGTGCTCAGTAAGCGTGGGGTCTGTCTTTCTCTCTGTCACCTTTCTTTCGAGTGATTGTGAGAATCAAGGGAAAGAATCCATAGGACAGGGAGTGAATTAACTAGATGGAAGGTGTTACCATCACGTAAGAAAGCCCTGGGTGCCCACATACCACCGACTCAAAGAATCAGCATTTGTTTCATAGAAAGATCTCTTATCAGATCATGACAAACAGAAAACTCCCCCAGTACCATTTGAAATGACAACAGATACTGAAAAGATTGATTTATGGGGGCGTCTGGGTGGCTCAGCCGGTTAAGCATCAGACTCTTGATTTCGGCTTCGGTCATGATCTTGCGGTTTGGGGGTGGGGGCCCCGGGTCAACAGTGTGGAATCTGCATGGGGTTCTTTCTCTCTCTTTCCCTCCCTCTCTCTCTGCCCCTCCCCTTGCTCGTGTTTTCTCTCTCTCTCTCTCTGTCTCTCAAAATAAACAAATAAACATTAAAAAATTTAGGAAAGGATTTATGGATGACCCCTGGATAGAACCATTTTGATAGCCTATTGAAATAGAAATAGCTTTCCCCAATCCCACCATGCAGAAAGGATCAGCCTCAACAGGCAGTGAAGCATTTAATGAGCTGCTACTGTGTGTAGGGTCCACGGCCAGACACTGTCGGGGATATGCGGGGATGTTGGGCCGAGGTACCCCAGGCACCTGGTGGGATGTCCCGGGGGCTGTGCCCCGGCAGCCCGTGCTATCCTCTATGGCCCTGAGTGGTCGCCCAGTGGAGAGAAATGGACAAACCAGGGACAAATGAGTTCTGGGCCCCGAGAACCCAGCAAAGAGCACTTTAATGGCCCCTTTCTCACATTTGATCCGCACGCGGGCTCTGTAAGGGTAACTCATGGGAACCACGCTTCCCTGCTTTGAAGGGGTGCGGCCCACAGGTCCCAGCAGATTAGGGGACTTACCCCATGTCTCCAGAGTGCAAGTGGCAGGCCTGGGATTTCTGTCCCGGGTTGTCCCACTTTGCATGCCGGGGAGCGAGGAACAGGTGGATCCTTCGCTCTTCCTCCCACAGACGCTTTTTAAGGATTGTGCTTTTTAACTGATAAGATTGCAAGGATACCATAGGACCTAAGAATCACCTTAATGACACTTTTGTGTTTCCCCGAAATTCACATGCCGAAGCCTTAACCTTCAAGGCGATGGTCTCTTTGGAGGCAGGGCGTTTGGAGGGTAATTAGGTTTAGATGATGTGCTCGGTGGGGTCCCCCATCATGGGATTGGTGCCCTTAGAGGAAGAGACACCAGAGATCTCCGTCTCTCCCTCTCTGCACACCCAGAAGAGAGGCCACGGGAGAGCTCTCACCAAAACCCACTGTGCTGGCACCTTGACCTGTGACTTCCTGTCTGCAGAACCGTGAGAAAGAATGGAGTGTTTTGTTACGGCAGCCCCAGCTGACTGAGACGCCCCCCCACCCAGCGGTAACTACCGTTAACATTGCGGGCTGCTTCCTGACAGTTTTTCCATGAATACAGTTTTCAATCCTTTTTTCTTTTTAATTTTTTTTTTTATTTTTTAGAGAGAGAGAGAGAGAGAGAGAGAGAGCAGGGAAGGGGCAGGAGAGAGGGAGGGAGAGAGTCTCAAGCAGGCTCTGTGCTCAGTGCAGAGCCCGACGTGGGGCTCAAACCCACCACCCTGGGATCACGACCTGAGCCGAAAGCAGGAGTCGGACGCTTCACTGACTGAGCCACCCGGTGCATCTCCGTTTTCTACGTACGATCACGGCCCTGCCCTTCCTGCTGTGCTTGGTCTTTCCATTTTATCGTTGGCATTTCCTCCGGTCGGCGTTCGTCGACCGCCCCGCGGGTCACTGCCACAGTTAGTCTAACCAGCCGCCCTCTTGTGTTAGTCTGCTCGGGCTGCGGCGACAGAATGCCACACGCTGGGCGGCCGAAACAACAGAAGCGCACGGCCCTCGTGGTTCTGGAGGCTGGACGTCCAAGGTCAAGGTGACAGCAGGGCTGGGTTTGGAGGCCTGCACGCAGCTGTGTGCTGTGGCCTCACGTGGCCTTTCCTCTGCGCTCGCGGAGAGAGAGCTCCGCTCTCTCTTCCTCTGCTTCTGAGGACACCAGTCCTATTCGACCGGGACCCCGCCATTATGACCTCGCTGAACCTTGATGACCTCCTTAGAAGCCCCATTTCCAAATACAGTCGCGCTGCGGGGTTAGGGCTTTAACGGAAGAATTTTGAGGAGACACAAGCCAGTCCACAGCACCCAATCCTTCTGAAGGTTTTGTTGCTGTTATAAGTCGTACTGTGATGAACGTCCTCAGTCAAACATCTTTGGTGTTTGAACATCTCTGATTATTTGCTTGGGGTAAGTCCCTAGAAGTAGAATCATTGGGGGTGAAGGGTGAGAGGTTTTCAACAGATGTGTATGGAACATCTCGTCTACCCCCAGAGACTCCTGGCTGAGTGGGGTGGGCTTGCTCACGCATAAAGCGCTTTCTTTGAGGCGTGTTCCTCACGAGGACTTCTCCCACGTTAGCCCTGCCACTTAGGGGCCATACAATCACCAGCCCCCACTCAGCAGATGAGGAAACCGAGGCTCAAAGAAATGAAGCAAAGCGTCCAAGGTCAAGACACTTGCCTGTGCACGGCTGGGGGGCTCTGACTGTTGGCCGTAAATCCGGGTGACTGCGGTGGCCTCCTGGCTTTGCGGGCGGGCGGAGTCTTTCTCTTTCTAATGTCACTCACGCAAGCACAGCCTCGGGACATCCAGGCCCATTCCCCTCCAGGCGGAAAAGGGTCTTTGGCTCTGCTCGGGCCTCTGCACTGCCCGGTAAGGCAGCCACCAGCCGCACGGGGCTACTGAGCACTTGAGCTGCAGCTACTTCCAACTGAGACGTGCGGGAAGCGTCTAACACACGTCAGGTTTCGGAGCCTCGGGCGACAAACCGAGTACAAAAGATCTCAGGGATCATTTTTGTTGCTGTTGATTCTATGTTGACGTCATAGCAAATTAGATCAGGTTTAAGAAAAAATTATGCAAACTATTTTCACCTGTTCCTTTTTTTTTTCTTTTTTTCTCACCACTTTTTAAAAACGTGGCTACATTGGGGGGCCTGGGTGGCGCAGTCGGTTAAGCGTCCGACTTCAGCCAGGTCACGATCTCGCGGTCCGTGAGTTCGAGCCCCGCGTCAGGCTCTGGGCTGATGGCTCGGAGCCTGGAGCCTGTTTCCAATTCTGTGTCTCCCTCTCTCTCTGCCCCTCCCCTGTTCATGCTCTGTCTCTCTCTGTCCCAAAAATAAATAAAAACGTTGAAAAAAAAATTTTTAAAAAAATAAATAAAATAAAAACGTGGCTACAGGAAAATCTGAAATTCTACGTGTGGCTCACATCCGTGCCTTGCACTCTCAGTTTTTGGATGGGACCAGCACCCAGACGTTTGGCAACCAGGGTCTGTCATCTGAGGGAACTCCAAGGGATGGGACACACAACTCCGTGCCCACCTCCTTGCTGGGTGTTTGGACGCAAGTCTCTCCCTGTCTCGTGGCCCCTTTCCTAACCTGGACAGCGAGAGGCTTGAATGAGATAACACACAGAGCTTGATTTGGCCTGTTCTGTGTGTGGAGACAAGTGTTAAACATTTTTGAGGTACTCCCCACCTTTAGGTTTTGGATTTCGACTTCTCTAGCAAAACTGGAAGATTTGGCCGTCCCAAATGCACGTGCAGCAGAGGGCCAGAGCTGAGTGGGGGGTGTAGCCTCAGTTTGCTACAGTCCCCGCCGCTCCCTAATGGACCCCAGACCTGCTTTATTCGTTGACGTTTCCTGCCAGGCCCTGAAGGCTTCAGAACTTACCACTCCCAGACCTGCTGTCATTTTTGTTTGTTTGTTTGTTTGTTTGTTTGTTTGTTTGTTTTCTGGTCTTTTGAGCCAGGATTCCACGGCCCCATGGTTTTTGTATGTCCTGGGACTTTTCTCCGATCTAAGAATTCCCCTTAACTTGTTCGGGTCCATTTCTCTTCCCAAGGGTGGGGTTTGGAGGTACAGTAGCTGTGCAAACAGAGCTGGAAGCAGAAACTGAGGTCAGAAGTGACCCCCGGAGCCCTTGTGTTTGTTGTGGTCTGGGGCCATCAGACCCGAGTATGAACAAGGCGGCCTGGCATGAGGAAGTGTCTGCCCTTAGTTTGTAGGACAGTTTCCAGGTCGGACCAACAAGAGGCTGCCAGCTCACGGAGACTCTCTGCAGCTGCAGGTGGCATTGGCATTATCTCATTGGGTCCAGCGGGCCTGGGATTGGACGGTGCCCTGTGCACCAGGAAAGAAGAGAAGAAAAGGAGCCGTGTGCATTATAAGTAGAAGAAAAGGCAGTCGGCCTGAGGCAAACAGCATTGTCTGCATTTGTGCTGGGCCCCGGGGTGAGCTGGCCACAATCTGTAGCTGCTGGGCGAGCACAGGGGCAAGCAGGTGGGCAAACACCTGTTCCCTTCTCCTCTTGTGCCTGGATGTTATGCAGCTGCTCCAGGAAGCCAGGGTTCAAATGAGGAAAGTTTGGCTTGTGGTCACTTGTGGGAGCCCCCGAGGGGGCAGCTGGGGTTAAAACTCAGAGGAGAGGAAAGGTCAGGGTTGACGACCCAGTCACACCAGTTTTCCTCTGGGCAGATGGTGGACAAGTGTATGCTTTCACTCTGCCCTTCTTAGTGGGTTACCATTTCATCCCATACTGGTTGCTTCATGGTCACAACGTAGCTGCCACAACTCCAGCCTTCATGTCTGTATTCAAAGCTGGAAACAAAGGGGGCGGGGGGAGGACAGTACATAGGCTTTTTTATCCTCATCCTTTTCATCACAAAATCAGAAGATTTTGGGAGTGCCCAGTAGACTTGACTTCACATCCCACTGGCCAGAGTGGCCATGCCAGGCTGCAGGGGAGACCAGACAGCGAGTCTCTGACTTGTTTCAGTTTCTTTTTTTTTTTTTTTAATTGTTTTATTGTCATGTCAGCTAATAAATAGTGTATACAGTGTAGTCGTCTTCAGGAGTAGATTCCCATGATTCATCACTTACATACAACACCCAGTGTTCATCCCAACAAGTGCCCTCCTCAATGTCCATCATCCATTTTCCCCACCCCCACCCCCCGACACTTTCCACCCTTCGTTTTTTTTCTCTTCATTTAAAAATCTCTTATGGTTTGCCTCCCTCTCTGTAACTTATTTTTCTTTCCCTTCCCCTATGGTCTTCTGTGAAGTTTCTCAAATTCCACATACGAGTGAAAATATACGATCCCTTTTTCTGACTGACTTATTTCCCTTAGCATCATACCCTCTAGTTCCATCCACCTTGTTGCAAAGATTTCATTCTTTTTCATTGCTGAGTAGTATTCCGTGGTGTGTGTGTGTGTGTGTGTGTGTATACACAATGTATGTGTATATGCATATATACACATCACATCTTTATCCATTCATCGGTTGATGGACACTTGGGCTCTTTCCATATTTGGCTATTGTTGATTCAGTTTCTTTAGAGGTAAGTGGCCAGACAGAGGGGGTGGATGAGCACCATTGGGTTGGCCAGCCAACAGTGAGGGCGTGCCCAACCCTCCACATTTCCAGTGTAGCCCTTCGTCTTTCCGTGATGGTTCTTTCCCCTTCTGGGAGAAAGGGTCCGGGCTGTGGTGGGGTTGGTGCTTGCTTTCAGTAAGCTTCCATGACTGGATCCCAGTTTCTTCTTGTCCCATCGACAATGAGCTGAGTATTGGCAGGTTCAAGATTAAGGCAGAATGCCAAGGCTGGTTTTGCAAGTTCCCACGGAACTGCCTCTCCCCAGATAGGGACCCACCTAAGGTCTGAACCGCCTGGCAAAACCAGACTCTCGGCGAAGAAGGAGGCCCACGCGCGTGTGTGTGCGTGCATGTGGGAGTGTGTGTGCACGATGTCTGCCTCTCACCCCATGGGGCTCGGAGCTTCCCAGGGCGGCTCAGTAACTGAGTCCTTGTGTTTTTCAGGTTTGGGGTGATCCACTCGGTGTTCACTAACCTGCTTCTGTGGACCAATGGTGTCCTGAATGAGTCAAAGCACCAACTTAACGAACATAAAGAACGTCTCATCACGCTGGGCTTCGGGAACGTCACAATAGGTGAGTGATAAGAGTTGTCCCGTCCCCGTGCTGGAACCTCTTAGAAGGCTGCAGAGACCAGAAATGTTCAGAGTCGGAGAGGCAGGTTCCAAAGAACGGCAGGGTCCTTCCACCTCAACGTTGGCCAGACAATCATCTGTTGTTGAAAGTCTTTCAAAACCTCCTAAGCCCCTCATTCTGGTTACGTAAGTAGGACGTGCTGAGGGTAATTAATGGTTTCCTCAGTGACTCAGGGACTTGCCGGACCCAAGGGTTATCATTTAGGGTACCATTTCTCACGGTACAGTTTGGTATGGAAGTGAATGTCTTTGTTTACAGCTAGGGAAGATTGGCAGTCATTGTGTTTTTAATTAAGTGTCTATTACCAGTTCTTTCTACTAAAAGTATAGCTTTGAAATACCCAGAGAGGTCTCAGGGTTGTCGTTAATTGGTTTGAGTTCATTTGAAGTGGTTTTTTTTTTTTTTTTTTACTCCCTCCGGCTTGCACCTATGGCCCATCCTTATCCTCAACCCCCCACCCCCACCCTGCTCCCGTTTGAGAGCCTGCCACACCTCCTTCCAAAGTTCTTTCGCGTTTATGACCTGTCGCTTCTCTATTAGAACAGTGGGGCTGAGAGGAATGTGCAGGGCGGAAATGTGCTGGGAACCGGAGAGCCCAGATTTGGGGATGTTCTCATCACGTCCTGGCTGTGTGACTTTTGGTAACCATTCAATGTCTCTGGGCCTCCCTTTTCTCATTCATAAAGTGAGGGGACCTGAACCAGGTTCCTTCAGGGAGTCCTTTTAGCTTTAATGTATTACTCAGGTACACTCACTGTATGACCCCAGGCCCGTCGCCCAGGGCGACTTTAAAACAGTTTTCTTACCAGGGACACCTGGGTGGCTCAGTTGGTTAAGCATGTGACTCTTGATCTCAGCTCAGGTCACGATTTCACGGTGTGTGAGTTCGAGCCCCACATCGGGCTCTGCACTGACAGTGTGGAGCCTGCTTGGGATTCTCTCTCTCCTTACCAGTGGGGTGGGGATGGTGAAGTCAGGGCACACGCTGTTTCTCCAACCCCCAGCCCCCACTCTCCACCGGCAGCTGACTCTTGGGAAAGTCCTTCTCTCTCGTCAACTCTCGTGTCCTCATTGGTGTCAGTGATAGCAATGAAAACAAAGCAAACTTCCCAAGTGTTTACTGAGGGCCTGGCACGCTGTTCTAGTCCCTTCGTGCGGCTCATTTAATTCTCAAAACACCGTGGGGTAGTCAGTGTTGACCTTATCATACGGATGAAAACATCAAACCACAGAGAAGTTAAGTAACTAGCCCAAGTCCACACAGTAAGTAAATGATGAAACCCGGATCTGATCTGGCTCCAGGAACCTCTGTGGAAAGATGGAATTAGATTGATCTACAAAGAAAAGACTCTGTCAGCTCTAACATTCCGTTGATCTGAACCTTTCTCCTTGATTTCTTCCCCTGATTTTGCACAGGAGCGCCTTGGGTTACGAGAGGTGGGAAACCGGTTGTGCGGTGAAAAGTGCAGGGTTCTGCAAAAGTGAAGGTGATTTGTGCTGCCACAGGCTTTCCATTTGATTTTATAACTGGTCTCTACAAGTCACGAATTAAGGCAGTGACAAAGTGTAAAGAAAAAAAAAAAACCTACAGTAGCACCTACCCAGAAATGCAGTTACGTGCTGTTAATTTTAGGTTATTTCTTTGTCGTGTTCTATTTCTTGATCTGTAGTTAAGGCCATAGTGTATATATTCAATCTTTTTATTTTTTTGACTACAGCTACAATAAGAACTAAAACTTGCACGGCAGCTCAAGTGCACATCTGTACGTGTGGACGCATATGCCACGAAATAATAACGTTGCTGTATCAGAGACACCTTCAAATTTCTATTGCATCTGGTACCATTCCATTCCATTCTATTCCATGACAAGTCCTTTCTGTTTAAAAAATACATTGGCAGCTACCCACTAAATTGATTTCATAACTGAGTGCTCAGCTGTGATATGTATTTATTTTTTTCATTTAATTAATTTATTTTGAGAAAGAGAGAGAGAGAGAGAGAGTGCACACACACAAGCAGAGGAGGGGCAGAGAGAGAGAGAGAGAGAGAGAGAATCCCAAGCAGGCTCTGTGTTGTCAGCTTGGAGCCTGACGTGGGGCTCGATCCCATGACCATGAGATCGTGACCCAAGCTGATATTAAGAGTTGCACACTTAACCAACTGAGCCACCCGGGTGCCCCCTTGTGACATGCATTTTAAAAATGCTGTGTATACAATTTATTCTTACTTGTTTCCATTGTTATGTAACATGATCACTTTCCTGTACCATTAAAACACAACTTCATTACAATTTTTAATGGCAGCCTTCTATGCCATTGTATGAATGTATCAAAATTCGCTTAACAGTTTCTAAATTGTTGGACACTGAAATGTTTCTTTTTCTCTCTCCAGTGCACGCGTGTGCGCGCGCGCGCTCGCGCACACACACACACACACACACACACACACGGTTTTACCTAATGCTTTGATTACACTTTTTGGCTTTGATTACATTTTTGACTCGTCCCTCAACACAGATTGGAATTCTAGGTCCGAGACTACAGCTGCATCATCTTTAAGGCTTCTGTTACATATTTTCTTATTTATGTATAGCACGTGCCCTACTTGTTATGAAATCGCTCTTTATACCATTGCCAAGTGCCTTCTGGAAAGTGGTGCCAACTCGTGTGCCAAGCATTGGAGTTTGATGGTTCCCGTCTCACACTACACGTGCTAGTATCCAGTATTCTCAAGAGGAAATGCTTTGCTCATGAGAAGGGGCATTTTCCCTCATAAAGTTACTTAAAAAAATTTTAGGGGCACCTGGGTGGCTCAGTCCATTAAGCATCTGACTCTTGATTTGGGCTCAGGTTATGATGACCTCAGTGTTGTAAATTCAAGCCCCGTATGGGACTCTGCCCTGGACGTGGAACCTGCTTGGGATTCTCTCTCTCTCCCTCTCCCTCCACCCCTCCCCTGCTTGTGTGCTCTCTTTCTCTCTCTCAAAAAAAGTCAATAAAAATAAAAAATAATTTAAAAATCACACATGTAAATCATATGCACATAGAAAGTTTAGAGGATACAAGGAAGCAAAACTTGGAGGAAAGTAATACAGTAGACACCTTACACTTACACAGTGTTACATGCCAATGATATCTCCACAAATCCATGAAGCTGGGGGAAAGAGACACAATAGAACTTTCTTTTACTGGAAAAAAAAAAAAACTCAGAAAGAAAAACAGAAAGGAAAAAACAAATTTGCCTGCCACTTTCCCACCCAGAAATAACCATTGTTGACATTTTAGCTTCTATCTTTCCAGATTTCTTCTATGTGTCTGCCTATCATCTATACATCTATAATTTATAAAAATGGAATTATACTCTCTCCTCCTCAGCGAGCTTCTCTTATGCAAAATCTTGTGGCCATCTGTGCATGTTCAGTAAATTTGTATAATACCATTTCTTTTTTTTTTTAATTTTTTTCAACGTTTTTTTATTTATTTTTGGGACAGAGAGAGACAGAGCATGAACGGGGGAGGGGCAGAGAGAGAGGGAGACACAGAATCGGAAACAGGCTCCAGGCTCCGAGCCGTCGGCCCAGATCCCGACGCGGGGCTCGAACTCACGGACCGTGAGATCGTGACCTGGCTGAAGTCGGACGCTTAACCGACTGCGCCACCCAGGCGCCCCTATAATACCATTTCAAAGGGCTGGTGTAGGTACGGATCGATGGGTATAATGTGACTCATGGAGGTAGTGCTCATTGGGGGGTAGTCATGGCCGTCAATTTAGCCACGATATTAAACGTGATAACAAGGCACAACGCAAAGCTTTAATTCAACGGGAACACCCACGCGTGACTCCCCAGTGACGCTATTTACTCATGCTCTTCCACTTGCCCACTCAACATGCCAACCTCCCTCCCGTGCATTCTCTCGCCCCCAGTCTTGGACGACCACACGCCTCCGTGTAACTGCTCGCTCCCGACGCTCTGCTCGGCCATCTCACACGGGATCTACTACCTCTATCCCTTCAACATAGAGTATCAGATCCTGGCTTCCATGATGCTCTACGTCCTGTGGAAAAACATCGGACGCAAAGTTGACGGCCACCAGCATCAGAGCGTGCGGTTCAAGTTCCGCGGGGTCGTGGCGGGCTCGGTCCTGGGCCTGAGCGTGCTGGCCGCCACGATCGGGGTCGTGGTGGTGTATCTGATTCAGATCGGGCGCTCCAAATCCAAGAGCGAGTCGGCGCTCATCATGTTCTACCTGTATGCCATCGCCTTGCTGATACTCATGGGGGCCGCCGGGCTGCTTGGCATCCGGATTTACAGGATAGACCAGAAATCGCTGGATGAGTCCAGAAGCCCGGCCCGCAAACTGGATGCCGACCTCTTGGTGGGCACCGCCTCCAGCTCCTCGCTCATCTCCTGGGGTTCCATCTTGGCCGTGCTCTGTGCCGAAGCCTGCCCCCCCTACACCTGGTTCAACCTGCCCTACTCCGTCCTGATGATTGTTGAGAAATACGTCCAGAACCTCTTCATCATTGAGTCTATCCACCGAGAGCCGGAGACGCTGTCTGAGGACATCAGAACCCTGCGAATGGTCACCGTCTGCAGCGGCAATGCCATGCCCCTCTCCTCTTCCGGCCTCAGGAACGGGGCTGTGGCCGGGGACGCGGCTTCCCCAGGCGGCGAGATGCACCGCGCGGCCAACGGAAACACGTGTCTGAGAGAAGGCTGTGGCGGAGAGGGGGGCGAGGGGAGCCGGGAAGGGACCCCGGGCCCCACCTGCCGCCCCGGTTTCTTGCAGGGCGACGGCAAGAGAAGCGTCTTGAGGAACATCGCAGCCTTTCTGTTCCTCTGCAATATTTCGGTAACGTGCATTAAGTTATTCACCTTAAACACGATCTATGTTCCTTGCTTTTCTTCCCACCCCCCCCAGAGAAGGAGTGAGGGAAGCTTATTATCAAAATGAGGTAAGTGTGGGGTGAAAAAATGAGGCTGGAATGAAAGCGTCTCCTCCACAAACCCACTTACTGAGCACTGCCATGTGCCAGGGGCTGGGGTCGAGGCTAACGATTGCAGGTGACAAGACCCCCATCTCTGTTGGTCAGCAGCCCTCCCGGGTGAGATCTGTAACAGATCTGCCCCATGGAGGGCAGGGAGAGGCGGAAGGAGGCCACTCCAGCTTTGTAGGTGATGGTTTTAGTTTTTATTTTTTTATTTTTTGTAGGTGACGGGAACTTACATACGAGGCTTGCCTTGGGCAGCAGCAAGACGAGTGGGGTCCCTGTACCTGCCTGCTAGATGGCAGAAGTCTATATGCAGAGAGAGGCTTAACTGGGTTCGGTCGCACATGCCGTGCAAGTGTTCTCAACGCCACATCATTATTTCAGGGCTGTGTCCTTGGGAGCAGCTTCTGGGAGCGAAAAGGCCAAGGAGAACCCACGTTCCAAGGACAAGGGAGGGGGCGGGTGAGGAGCCTGTGAGGGCTCGGGGGGCCGACCGGCGGTCACTTCTTTTGGATGACCTTCCCCAATAACCTCTTCCTCAGAGAGGTCACAGTATAGGGGGGAAGGGACACAAGGAAAACATACGGCGAGTAGGGCAAGTGTTGGCACAGAGTATGTGCAAAGTGTAACGGGAGCATGGATCCAGGGAGGGACTTTAGTGAGTCGGGGATGCTTGAGGTGAGGCCCAGACTCAGTTAGGAGAGCTTTTGGCTGCAAAGAACAGAAAGCTTGGCCAGCAGTCTCTTCAGTCTTAAAGATGAGAATCCTGAAGGTTGGCTATTCGGGGTTGGTCCGGCAGCTGAGCCCTTTGATCAAGGATCTAGGTGCTGGTCGTCTTTCCACTCGACCACGCTTCATGTGGTGTGGACTGCCACGCGGTCACAGAGTGGCTGCAGCAGCACCAAGCATCACATCGGGGCTTGAGACACAAGGAAGGACTAGGGCCAGGCTGCGGCTTTCCCACGGCCACCCCTAGCCGCGAGGGAGGCCGGGGAAGTGGATGGTTTCCAGCCTGCAGCCTCTGATGGCAAGTAGCAACGTGGAAGGCGTATGGTAACTCCGTTTCGGCTGCCCGGGTTCTGAGGAACGGTTGGAGGTTTACCAGGTGGCCAAGGCAAGCATTGAGCGCAGAGGGCACGCGGTTCAAAGACACAGAGGCGGAAGCCGCCGCGGCCTACTTGGGGAGCAGCAAAGTAGTTCAGCATGAATTCCACACACGTCGGGGAGAGCCGCGGGGGGGGGGAGGGGAAGAGCAAGAGGCGGGTCTCGCCTGTGGGTCTGGCTTGAGCGGAGCTTCGTCAGCCCGGCCGGGTCTGGTCCTCGTGCTGAGGGCCACAGGGGACCCTCTCGGTTTGTGTCTTGGATGGATCCCCTTAGCAGCGGTGTGCGGGAAGGAGGGAGACAGGCGAGCCCAAGGGCGGGGACACCTGGACGGAAGCCCTGAAGCAGCCCAGATAGGAAATGATGGCCCCCTGGCAGGGGGCCAGGGCAGGGCAGTGGCCTGGGGGTACACAGCCAGGGCAGTGGCCGCGGGGATGGAGAGAGGACAAAGGAAGAGAGAGCCCCGTGCCTTGTTGGGATCCGTTCTAGAGATTCACAGTAGGATGGCAGGGCTTGGTGACCAAGGGAGGGGCCAGCTGCCTCTGGCACCACACGGGCCTCGAGATGACCGTGGCTGGCGGGAGGGTGGGGACGCCCCGCCCACGGCGCCTGCCTGTCGTCACGGTCAGCTCTCTGCAGCCGCCAGGGCTATGCCGTTTCCCCGTCAGCTCCCTGGCTTTCGAGCTTCCTCCGCCTAGTTTCAGCGGGGGCGTGCCCAGGGACCGCCAATTTTGACGTCACGCCAAGGCCACAACGCTGGGAGGGTCCCTCTGAAGCCGAGATGGCCACGTGTCTGCCCATCAAATCTGATTCTTGCTTTGGGCCACCCGGACCTCGGTCCCCCTCCAGCCCGGCAGACGGTTACGAGGAGCTCTGAAGGGAGAAGGGGCCCCAGGCGAGCCTGGGTCCAGGTGGGCCCGCGTCTTTCATGGAATAGACATTTCTGGAGCATGTGCTGGGCACAGCAGGGAATGAAGGAACCGAACGGGAGAGAGAGAGACAGATTAGTGACTATCGCGGGGCTGCGTTTTATGTGAGGCTTGTATTCCAGAGAGGCATGTATCCACTCAGATCTTTCTTTGCTAATGTTTTTATTTATTTATTTTCTTTTGGGAAAGAGAGAGAGGGGGGGGGCAGAGAGAGAGGGAGACACAGAATCTGAAGCAGGCTCCACACTGTCAGTGCAGAGCCTGATGCGGGGGTCAAACCCATGAGCCATGAGATCATGACCTGAGCCGAAGTCGGATGCTTAATGGACTGAGCCACCCAGGCACCCTCAGCTTACATCTTACAAAGTCAGAGTTGGTTCCAGAATCCCCCTAACGTGTGTTGTTTTTGTACACACCCAGAGGTAGGAATCTCTCTCTTCTCAGCAAGTTCATAAAAGCCGCTTTCCGCACGGGTTCTTTGCTTGACCGCCGGTGAGGCGCTTGGCTTGTGGTTTCGGACCAGCTCGACCAAGAACCGCGTGGCCATGGTAGACTCTGATGGTAACTGATGGTCTGTTGGGACCCGACAGCCGGACTCAGGGCTCTGTCCTGGGAGGGGGACCCGTGTCATCTCTTCACCTCCGTGCTCCGCCCCCGGTGTCCCCAGGCCCTGCCTCTGTTCACCGGGGAGTGAGCCGGAAGACAGAAATCATCGCGGGGTGATGTCCGGGGGGGCCCTCAGCAGCCCCACGGGCCACACGCGCACCCGTGGTCCATCCCACGAGGCCGTGAAGCCCCTGGCAGAGGGTGAGACTCGTCATCCTCCAGGACCAGGTGCCGGAACAGAGGCCGCAGCCGGAGGTGCTGGTGTGCACATCCACGGGGACGGCAGTGGCCGTGGGGACAGACGAGGGTGGCGGGCGGGACGGTGGGATTTAGGGAGAGGGGCCAAGGGGGAGGGGACCGTCTGGGCAGAATGACGGGCATGGGGAGGCCGCGGGGAGCGTGTGGACGCATGGCCAAGTAGGGCTTGCGGGACATGCTCCTGGGGCGGGAACAAGACCCGCCTGGCTGAGCACGACGAGCAAAGGGAGGGACACGAGAGAGGCGCCAGGGTGGACCACGCGGGGTCTCAGCAGCCACAGCCACAGCCAGGACGGAACCCTGAATGCAGCAGGAAACCGTCGAAGGGTTTTAAGGTAGTGACAGGATGCGATTCGTGCATTTTCTTTTTTGACTCAGTTGAACCTTTAATTGTAGGCAATACCACGTAACACAAGCGTTTACCATAATATTTACCATTTTAATCATTTTATTTTTTTTTAATTTTATTTATTTATTTATTTTTTAAATTTTTTTTTTTTTACTGTTTATTTATCTTCGAGGCAGAGAGAGACAGAGCATGGACGGGGAGGGGCAGAGAGAGAGGGAGACACAGAATCCAAAGCAGGCTCCAGGCTCCGAGCTGTCACCACAGAGCCTGATGCGGGGCTCGAACCCACGAATCGTGAGATCATGACCTGAGCCGAAGTCGGATGCTCAACCGACTGAGCCACCCAGGCACCCCACATTTTATTTTTTTAAAGAGTTGATTGGTTGATTGATTTAGAGGGAGCGAGTGGGGGAGGGGCAGAGAGAGCGGGAGAGAGAATCCCAGGCAGGCTCTACACTCACCGTCAAGCGCAGAGCCCGACGTGGGGCTTAAACCCACAACCCGCGAGATGGCGACCTGAGCCGAAATGAAGAGTCAGACGCTCAACCCACTGAGCCACCCCGGCGCCTGCGTTCTAACCATCCCAGAGCATACGGTCCAGGAGTGCAAAGGGCACTCCTCACCACTACCCATCGCTGAAACCTGTTCGCCTCACGAAACTGAAATTCTGTAACCGGGAAACAAGCCCCTGTTCCTCACCGCCACCCCCCGGCCCCCCGCAACCCTGTCCTACCTCTGGGTTCGACCACACCGTGCAGTTCACGTGAGTCGAGTGTTCACGGAGTGTTTGTCTCTTTGCGACTGGCTTGTCCCACTTAGCGTAATGTCCCCCGACATCAGCCACGTGGTAACGTGTGGAGTGGGGGAGAGATGTCAAGAACAACTCCCCGGTTCTGACCCGAGTTCCCGGGGACACGGTGACACTGTTTATGGAGACTGGGGACTCCGAAGGGGCGGTAGGCTCGGGAGGGTGTCGGGGTGGAAGGAAGACCCCGGGTTTAGTACCGGACGCGTCCACTCATAAGGCGCCTCTGCGACCTCAGGCGGACATCCAAGCAGATGTTTGGGTTTCCTACTGCCGTGTAACAAACGACCCCCAGTGCAGGTCAAAACCAGCAGCTGTTTCATTAGGTCTTACGACCTTGTGGGTTAGAAATTCTGGCTGAGCTTGGCTGAGAAAGTCTCGTCTTCCTCGTGGCATCGACTGAGGCTGGTGGGCGGGCTGGAATCGAGGGCCCAAGGTCTGGTGGCCGGGGTGGGGGTGGCTGAGAGGGCTCAGCTGGGACCTCGGCTGCAGTGTCTACACCCGGGCTCTCCAGCATGGCGGTCTCGGGGTCGGGGGGCTTCTGAGGTGGTGGCTCGGGGCCCAGCGGCCAACCTGCCGAGACTGGAGGTGCCAGTCTCTCGGGGCCTGTGTGGATGTCGCGTGGCATCAGTCCTGCCTGCCACATGCTCTGGGTCAAGCAGTGGCAACGTCCCCCGGATTCAAGGGAAGGGGACACAGCCCGCCTCCCACTGGCATGAAAAGCAGAAACACTCCACGGCAGATCTAAATATTGGATCTCAGGAAAGAGGGCCAGTCGTCTGTCCTCACCTTCTCTGCCCACTGTCTTCCTTCCGTTCCTCTCCCTCCTGAAGATATAGCCACCGGCTGGCTACCGAGGGCCAGCGCCGCTGTGAGTGATGCCTTAGGGGGCTTGCGAACCAGAGGTCCGGGCTGGCAGTAAACGGTCAGGCAGGAGACCCCTTCTAGCGAAGCGCCCCTCCGCAGAGAACGAGCCGAGAGGGAGCGAGGTCACGCCTGGCACTGTCTCCGATCAGAAGGCCCAGGCGGGTGAGAGGGGCTTCCTCAGGGGGTGACAGGGGCTGGGTGGTGAGTGTTCTGGGAAACAGCCGGGGTCAGGCCCCGGGGCAGGGAGCTTATCTCATTGCAGGAGGAGGATGGTGGGCCATGTGACGGGGACCCAGGGTGTGGGAGACACCTGGGCAGTGGGGTTGGGGGGCCTGGCAAGGGATCAGCCAGCAGTGGGCTTTATAATCCCATGTAGGGGGTCGATTTCGTTTTCAGTGGCTGTGAGGGCTGGTGGGAAGGGATGTGGTCTCACAGAAGAAGCGAGTCTGGCAGCGGAGTGGTGAGCGGGCCCGTCAGGGGCGCCGTGGAAGCCGGATGGTCAGGAGGCCGCCGCGGTGGCCTGGGTGACAGGGGACAGCGATGGCCGGGCAGGTGCACGTGGACAGAAACGGGTCCACTGACGCCAGGGCGTCGTGGAGGCACAGTCCTCCGGGCTCGCCGATGGGCTGGCTGGCAGGTGCAGTGTCTTGAGGGAAAGAGGGAACACGAGGGTGATGCCTGGCGTGTGACTGGCCATGAGGAGGAAGATGTCGCGGGTGAGATGGGGGAGTGTGAGACGCAAGTAAGACGCCAAGTAGCCCGTGGGGTCCTCGAGGGCAGATCAGGCGAGTAATTCAGACGTGGGGAGTCATCGGCCCATAGCTGGTGTTTATTTACAGCCAAGGCTGGGTGAGCTCGTTCAGGGGTCGTGTGTGTAGGGGAGGGAAGAGCACCCAGGGGTGAGCCCTCCAGCCAACAGAGGGCGTGAGTTCCTGACCTCCCTTCGCTCCTGGCCGCGGAGCCTCGCCACGGGGCAGGTCACACACAACAGGGCGGCCGGCTTCCTCTCTTGCAGGACTCCCCGGTCCTTCTGCCACCCAATCTCAGAGGTGACGTCTCACGCCTTCTGTCACATTCTGATGTTTGAAGCGAGTCATGAGGCTCAGCCTGACCCAAGGGGAGGGGCTTCCACAAGGACGTGACTCCCAGGAGGTGGCATCGGTGGGGGGAGGGGGCGGTCATCCAAGAGGCTGCCTGCCACCATGCAAGGATGGAGAAAGTTCCAGAAGTGTGCAATGTAAAAGAGAAGCAGGCCCAGGAGACCGGCTGTAGCAGGGGAGGTGGAGGAGGAGGACCTGGGGCGGGGAGACTGAGGCAGGACCAGTGCGTAGCTTCCGCAAGCGACAGCAACGATAGGTCACTGCTTTAGGTTTTGCAAACATAGTTGCCATTTTATTCTCATGTGAGCCCTCTGTGACAGGTGCCTGTAGTCCCACCCTCCAGCTGAGGAAACTGAGGCTCGGGGAGGTTAAATGGCACTCTGTGAGTGCCCCAAACCCAGGTCCGGCTCCAAAGCAGGGGCTCCTCCCCTAAGCAGGGGGATGTGAGCAAGGCCTGGGCTGTCTCTCCAGGTCAAGCCAGAAAGCCCCGCATGGCTGGGGTCTCCAGGCACCAATGTTGGGATGTAAAGGCGGGTGTGATAAACGGGTTGACCTCTGCTGTAGGTAAGCCCGGGGGGCTGTGCACATAGGAGCTCCTTCCCAGCCTGGTTAGATCATGGAGGGCTTCCTGGAAGGAGGAGAGTCTCAGGACCTGGAAGAAGGTAGGATTCAGCCGAAGAAGGAAGACAGAGAGCCCTTGATAGAGGGAGAGGCAGGAGCAAAGCCCTGAAGGCTTGGAGGAGAGTCACATCCAGCCTTCGGAGGCGGAGGTGAAGGGCGTGGTGAGGGACGTGGTGGTGGTTAATTGCAATCAAACTCAGTGCCCCGTCACTGAGGGAATCTGGACGTTGTCCTGAAGGCTCCTGGGAGCCACTGGCGTGTGACAAGCAGAGGAATGGCAAGGTCAGATGTGCCCGTTATAAAGATCGCTTCCACAGCAGGGTCAGGGTGGATGGAAGGCGTCTGCTGCAGTTGGGGCGGGGGCATTTGGAGCCACTGTGGCAGTTCAGGCGGGGGATACTGAGGTCCCGACCAAGGTGAGGGCTGTGGGGACAGAGAGAGTCGGGTGGGTGTGAGCAGCATCCACTCGGGAGGGGGCTGAGGAGGCCAGAAGAGTCAGGCAGGCTCGTTGGATTTGGAGACCTCCAGGGGGGACGTTGCAGGGACAGGTGTAACTCTGAGTCCCCGAGTCCCGGCCGGCGCCTGGGGGTCGCGTGGGGCTCCCCAGGCGGCTGCTGGCACGGGCCCCTCTTCTCTTGTAGCTCTGGGTCCCTCCCGCCTTCGGCTGCCGCCCCGAGTACGACAACGGATTAGAGGAGATTGTCTTTGGCTTTGAACCCTGGATCATTGTGGTCAACCTGGCCATGCCTTTTTCTATTTTCTACCGAATGCACGCAGCTGCCTCTCTCTTTGAGGTCTATTGTAAGGTATAGTCTGTGTCCACATCCAAGCCCGAGGAGTGACCTAACAAGAGAATTCACTGGAGCCACCTGCGGATGGCCAGGTTGGGCAAATATCGCCCGACAAACGCACGGAGGGTTGTCTTTGCGGCAATTATTTCCCGTGAGCTGGAATCGTCTATCACCCCGGATGAATGTGAGCGCGTTAGATCAACGTCGATGAGGTGGCTGAGATCTGGTCTCGGGTAGTGAATTCTCACCAAACTCAAATTCTTTTATCTCCTTTTATTTATTTATTATTATTATTTTTTTTTTGAGAGAGAGAGGGAGCACGAGCGGTAGGGGGAGAGAGAATCTTCAGCAGGTTCCGTGCCCAGTGCAGAGCCCGACTTGGAGCTCGACGCGGGGCTTGAGTCCCTGACCGTCAGATCATGACCTGAGCTGAAATCAAGGAGTCTGCCGCTTAACCCACTGAGCCACCCAGCGTCCCTTCTCTCCTTTTAAACGGGATCCTCTGTGTTTTTTTTAGAAGAATGTGATCCCAGGTTGGGGGGAAAAACATTATGCGGTTTGTTTTTCATAACAATTGTTTTCTATCATCACGTTACTGCCTAGAACTCTTCTGACCGGCTGCGTAGTACAATGCTCCTGACGTTTTATCCCTCCCAGAGCTGATCAATGCCGATACAATCGCACTTAGTTTATATTGTACTTTCTGAATATGTTTAATTTTTTGAACAAAGTTACGTTTTTCATCTGGATGGAAATTAGTGTACGGAGACCTATTTCTTCCTGGAAATTTCGGCACATTTTTGCGATTTTATTATTATTATTTTTTATTTTTTTATTTTTTTTAATTAAAAAAAATTTTTTTTTCAACGTTGATTTATTTTTGGGACAGAGAGAGACAGAGCATGAACGGGGGAGGGGCAGAGAGAGAGGGAGACACAGAATCGGAAACAGGCTCCAGGCTCCGAGCCATCAGCCCAGAGCCCGACGCGGGGCTCGAACTCACGGACCGCGAGATCGTGACCTGGTTGAAGTCGGACGCTTAACCGACTGCGCCACCCAGGCGCCCCACGATTTTATTTTTAAAAAGAAATTTTACTATTCTCTCTCACTGTAAATACATACATGCCTATTACAGAAAACGACATTTTGGAAGAGTAGAGAGAAAACATCACCTAGGACACTACTGTTGGGTTGACGATCACTTTAACACCTTGTTGTATTTCCCAGAGGTGAAATGAGATTCACGGTGTTCTTTTCATTGTCATTATGCTTGCCACTGGTGATCTGACATGTCCAATTTTGTATCCATTTCCCCCCCACTTAACAATAGAGCATAAACCTTTCCTCCACGTGGTTTTCGAGGCTTTGTAAACATCATTTTGCTACTGTGTTTAAGTTCATCAGATGCATGTGCCATAGTTAGTCTTCCTATTGTCCGAGTTAGAGTGTTTATCCTGGTGGGTTTTTTTAAGGGCTTCTGCAAAAATCCACTACCTTTGTAAAGCATTTCCCATATATCATAATTGCTTCTTTACGATATACACTTAAAATCTGGATGTCTATTCCAAAGGTTGTAAATATTTTAAAGCCTCTTAAGAAATGATGACGTTTGGAAGGCCTTTTTATGTGCTTTGCCATAATTATTTTAAGATCATAATAAAATTAGCTTATTTCCTATAAATACTAACGTCACTATCTTTTCATCTGTGTGTATTTTGTTTGTTTGATAGCACAGGCAACTGGCACGTTAAGAAACACCAATTTTTTTTGTTGTTGTTGTTACATGACGAAAATACCTTAAGTTCTAGGGAAAAAAACTAAAGACAACGGGCAGATAGACCGAAAACAAAGTCAAAGATGATCTGTCATACCTTCTATTTAGGGTGGTGGCTTTCAACCTGGTGCCATCCTGTCCCCAAGGGGACGTTTGGCAAAGCGTGGAGACAGTTCTTATCGTTACTGCCATGCGGGCGACAGGTGTCTGGTGGGCAGAGAGCAGGGGTGCAGGTCGGCACCCTACAGTGCACGGCACGGCCCCCACCACAAAGACTTATCTGGCCCCAAAGGTTCATAGTGCCCAGCATGAGGAACTGTGATCTAGAGGTAATTGCTGTTAATTTTCGGTACCTATCAGTACACACACACCTACGTACACGCACACGCAGGCACACACACGTGAATGGGATTGCTTTTATGTATACTGAATTTGCATGTAACTAGCTTTTTTCCCCTCTTAATACGCCTGCGTGGTTCTGGACGATTTTCGTTTCCCCGTGGCATCACGTCTCACCCTTGAGCTTACGTAAGAATCATCTGGAGAGCTTGTGAGGACTCCTGCCTTCCCAGCCAGAAGTTCAGGTTCCGTTGGGCTGGAGTGGGGCGCAGGGTGCTTCAAGAAGCGTCTCAGGTGATGCCGTGTCCCTTCCAGAAGCACCTCCTCGAGAGTCCGTGAACCCCGAGTCAAGACTCCTGAACAGCCTCCCGTGACATTGTGTATTCTTCTGCAATGTGACCTCGGGTAGCTCCAGAGCACATTCCATGGAGGGCTGTATCGTTCCTTATGTAGTCAGAACCCGACGTTGGACAGGTAGAGACATTTGACGGTGTGATCCTCTTCTGTTTTTCTTCCTTTTTTGCTTTCTTTTTGCTATTACAAACGACACCGTGGCAAGCATTTTCATGGCTGAGTCTCTGCGCACATGTTGATAAACCACCCTGCATGAGACGAATACCTGTGAATGCCGATCTATTCAGAGGACTTCATTTCGGCTGGCATTCATTTCCCCTGGTGCTGAGCACGTCAGTACAGCCCAGGGGCTGTGGGATTAGGGCTCCAGGCGTGGCCACGGGGCACCATCAGAGCAGGAAAAAGCCAGCACAGTCTTGCTGGGCTCAGAGCTTCTGAGACGTGACCTTAAAGATGGACCGCCTCTTGCTCCTAAACAAGCAGAGCTCGCGCCATCAGGATGGCTGTTTGAGCCAGGCAGCTTTGTCCCACAGGTAGCCAAGCGTCTTGACTCGACCCACTTAGGCAGCAAAGCAAATGTATTCCCTTCATACCAAGGCAGCCCACAGAGGACGAACCGGAGTGTGCAATAAACAACTGTCAAGCTCTCAGGGCTAGAGGAAGAGAAATGCAAATTGGAACAGCAACGAGCCATCATTTCCCTTTCATCTGATTGGCAAGGCTTGGCCAAATGCGAAGGACAGAGAATGCAAACTGACCGCTGGCGGAACCGCTGTGGAAGGGCGCGGCCACCAGGGGGCGCCGGTGCCTTTCCGCTGAGTCCTCACCTGTGCTTTTAGGTCACAGTGAGGGGCGATCCGGTGGGCGAGCAGCAGACTCCAGGGTCCCCAATGAGAGCAGGGGTGCAAAATGCCCCGTCTGTACCCTGTCCACAACTTTGGACTCTCGTGGCGTGTGTCAGGGACGGCTGTCCTCGTGGCCGGGTGAGGGCTGGGTGGGTTCTGAGTTCCCCTAAGGAAGCTGAGAATTAGTTTCAACAGGGGTGTTCCCTCCACCTGCTCCCACCACGTCCGGCTGTCCGTGGGGCATCCTTGTCCCCATCACGAGGCTTTGGAGGAACGTGGCTGGAGGACGTTCCCATGTGTGGAGAGTCCCCCAAATAGAGTGGGTGGAACTTGGTCAGGGAGGGCTGGGGAGGTGGGCGCAGAGGGCAGTTTCACTGGGTCTGATGGGGCATGACAGTAACATTAGCTGCTCCTAAGGGCAGACCCTGGGGCCACAGGGACAGGACAGGGAAAGGACGAGGGCAGCGTTTTGTTTTTTTTAATTTCTTAAATGTTTATTTATTAAAAAAAATTTTTTTTAATGTTTATTTATTTTTGAGAGAGAGAGAGAGACAGAATGTGAGCCAGGGAGGGTCAGAGAGAGAAGGAGACACAGAATCCGAAGCAGGCTCCAGACTGAGCAGTCAGCACAGAGCCTGACGCGGGGCTCGAACCCACGAACGGTGAGATCATGACCCGAGCCACAGTCGGACGCCCAACCGACTGAGCCACCCAGGTGCCCCAACGTGTATTTATTTTTGAGAGACTGAGAGAGACAGGGCACAAGCAGGGGAGGGCCAGAGAGAGAGAGAGAGAGGGAGACACAGAATCCAAAGCAGGCTCCAGGCTCTGAACGGTCAGCAGAGAGCCCGGCGCGGGGCTCAAACCCATGAACCGTGAGATCGTGACCTGAGCGGAAGTCGGACACTTAACTGATCCACCCCGGTGCCCCGAGGGCAGTGTTTTAATGCTCAAAAAGGGTGATAATTTTGGTCCGGTGTTTCAGCCACATTAATAACATAAGAAACACCCCAACGTTGATAGTAAAACGTTCATTGTCTCAAAAATGTAAATCAAGTCACCTGCCTAAACTCTTCATTGGTTTCCTGTTGCTTTTAGAAGAAAGTACAAACTCCTGACTGTGGTCTGTTGGGATCTTCACGGTCTGGCCTCTGCTACTTTGTCTTCTTCTTATCCTGTCCCCTCCTCTGCCCCCCCCGCCCCCACCCCCCGGGTGCCCCCACCTGCACTGTTGCAGCCACATACAGCTGTCCCGCCTTGGACACTGCAGACTCCTCTGTTCCTCAGGACCTTTGCACGTGCTAATCTTGCTCTCAGGAGAGGGCTTCTCTGGCTCCTTGAAACAGATGGGCCTCTTTTCATCCCTCAGGCCATGTGTAGAGGTCCCTCCGCTGGGGGGGGGGGTCGCCCCGGACATCTGCCTGAACACATCGCCCGTTACGCTTCACCTTGGCCGCATTACCATTAGTCGTTTGCTTATGCATGTGTGCTTATCCGTCCTGGACACAGCTGTCTGCCTCGTGAGGGTAGAGGCTTAACCTCCTTCTCCCTCAGGCCTCACCACGAGGGCTGCCGCCCTCACAATCCAGACTATTGCAGGGCGTGGGGAAGCGCCCGGAGCTCAGCGGGCTGTCAGGACTGGCGTGTTTCCAGAAATAGTTTTTCAGGCCTTGGCAGACATTCTCCGCCCGCTTCGGGGACACGCCTCCAGTCCCCTCTTTGCCTTTAAGGCACAAGACGGCGCTTTGGGCCCGGCCCTTAACAGAGTCCCCGCGGAGTCTGGAATTAGGATATGCTCCCCTCTGCTTGCCCTGGCCTATGGGGGGGGACGGGGGGGGGGTGCCACAGAAGCTTACAGGCGGGTTCTGCTCCCCTCCTTGGAAGGGACGAACCAGCGGATGTGGGGGGCGGGAGCTGTCTTCCTGACGACAGCAAGGGCTGCCTAGGTATCTCTGGCAGGTGTTTCTGGAACACTGGTTTGGGATGCTCGGTCAAAGCCGGAACATAATGAGCCTGCCTCCCCTTGGC